GCCGGCTGGGCTTGAACCACGACAGTTACATAATGATTTTATGAGTCACCTGAAATTCTAAGATGGAAAGCTTTGGTGGTGGGATTTGGAAATCCTATGTAATTCAGCCTACAATACCTGTAACTCCCCTGTCTGTCTGTCTGTCTGTCTCCCACTGTTTCTTATATTGGCTTACTTCTCTATCACATTATGTCCAAGAATATTGACTAAATTTAGTTTTAATCTAATTTAGATGATCTTCATGACAAGTATAGGATTGCACTTGACCAAAAGACCATGGAGCAACAACGAAAAGAAGAAGAAAACAGACGTGCCGTTTGTGCAGCTACTAAAGATTTCAACAGAAGCCAGGTAAGTTAATACTGGGTTGGCTGGTTTGATTTTTTAAAAAAAGTGGAGACAGAAGTAAAATAAGATATGCAAAAGTGCAATGAGTAATGATATTTTCAAGAGGTTTCTTAGCAGCTAACGTGCAAGGTTGTTCCAGTAACTGAAAGATGGAATTTATTTGCTTTATCCCCTCCAAGGATCTAGCTATTGTCTGTCTACTTACCCTCTGTCAAAATTCTCCCTCCAGGTTCTCAGCTTGCTGACTAGAGGGCAGCAATAACTCCCCAGTCTTTCAGGGACTTCTATTCTGTAAACTGAGCAAAAAGAGCAAAAACCATCCAGACTTTCTTCTTGTTTTATATCAGTTGTTGAATAATCTTAGTTGTGTCTGCCTGCTTTTCTTTCTGCTTGGAACCATTGCTACCAGTAGTTTTTGTCTTTATTGAAGTTAATTCCCCATAACCATTGGTTTTGGCACTTTAACTGCTTCCTTGGTATTTGTGTACATGTCGCTTGCTTACCAAGCATGTTTTGGAACCTGTTGAAACAGGACATGAACCTTTATCTGTCTTAGTACCATTATCTGTCATGCCTCAGTTCTTACTGCAAAGATTTATTTATTTATTTTCTGTGCAGCTTATACATACAGCTCAAAGGGCTACACAGAGGCTATTAATTTGGTTAAACTATATTTGGTGTGACTTAGCTTTCAATTTATTTGTTCAGATCAAAATAAGCCATGTTAAAATTACGCACATCATGTACAGTATTATTTTTGTTTAAGTATATAAGTGTGCAAGTGTGTAAGTGTTTCTTGAGCCTTTCAGAGCACATTTGGCATAAGGTAGTTGAAAAGGCTTTTGCTGCTTGAAGTCATGGCCACTGAACAGTATTTTATATATATAGCCACAGAAGTACCCTAAGTGGCTGGTACACTTAGGGTAGCAGTAGTATCCCAAATAATTGTTGTCACACAAATTGTTTCCATGTAAAATTCGTGAATTTGTGACATGGTTTGGGGATAGGGTGGTAAGTTTGTGTGTGGTGTGGGTTTTAAAGTATGGGCATATACATTCTACATGACCGGTACGCATTTTAAATACCTTAAAAAGTCTTGCTCTGTGTTTTTTCCAATATAAAGGCATGATAGTGGAGGTTAGGGCAATAGTCTCCTTTTAGTTCTTATAGAAACATGAAAACCAGACGCTTCAGGTTGCCAGCCCTTTCAGTGGTGTTGACTTTAAGAGAAAGCTCTGTTGCGGAGGAATTTTCTGTGCATCTTTTTCCCAAGAGAGAAAACTAAGGCATTCAACCTGAGGATGAGTTTCACAGGAGAAGTTTCTGTATCTGACCTCAAATGTATTGAACAGGAGTCTCCAGCAGTTTCAGCATTCTGAGCAGCCAGTTTGAAGACCGTAACCTCTTGAGGGTGCAGTCTAACACTACATTTTGCTCTACACACATTTGCTTTACCAGTTGGTGGCTGCCAAAAGAGGAACTCCTTTTTCCTGTTCCCTGAGTTTCATTTTTTCTTCTCTGTCTCTTCCAGTTGATCTAATCATTATGAAGCTTCAGAATGTATTAGATAATTTCTCAAATCCAAAAGAAAATTAACTCTGGTCTAGAATGTGTGACTTCTAGATCTGAGTGAGAGGAGTGAATGCACAGTCTGAGGTGGCAGTAAAGGAGGGGAGAAAGTAACTTCGTAAGGCAACTTTCAGTTACTGTAATTTGGATAAAGTATAGTATGGGAGTGCATCTTCAGAGAGGAAGAAATTTCCTAGAATTTGGTTTTGGATCAGTCATTGTCTCCATGGCAATCCTCTGTAGGCCTTACGGTTACCAGTATCTTTAGGGGTTGTAAAGAATGAAATATTTAAAAAGAAAAAACCCACAACACGAGAAACCCAAACAAACAAACAAAAAAAACCCACCACAACAACATAAAACCCAGCAAGCTATGTACTCCAGGATAAAAATGTTTTAGTAAATCTGCTAGTCAATTAGTAAGGAATCCCAGCAGATGGGCAAAGTTACTTCAGTTCTTCACAGCCTACTTCAGTACATGATTTGATGTTGCTGCCCCCTGTGACAGTGGTTCGGCTTCCTCCACTTACCATACATAGTACCATTGCCAGTGACTATATTGCTAAGAAGTTTATCTTAGTGGTTCTTTTTGTTCTTCTTGAATTAATTAGCAGGACAATTAATTGATGATATGTTTGGTACCATATTTCCCAGTAGTGAAGGATCTTGTACTGTGAACATTTTAAATGTGTGTGGTGTCTAGAAAATGAATGCTATCCTTCCTCTCAGGTTTTGTGTCATCTAAGTATGTGTTAACCAGGAACACCAATATTGCTTTTGTCCTTGGTATAGGAGAAGACTTCTACTCGCTTAAACTGTCAGTTATTCCTGCTAAATCGTTCATATATAAGTAGTAATTATTTTAATTTTGGAAGCCAGGTAACGGAAATGAAGACTACCTGAAGTCCTGACTAGAATACGTATTTTTCACTGCTTTTGATGTGATTCCATAGCAGAATCTTAGTGTTGCAGAAAGGGTTTCTTCAGAAAAGAACACTTGGAAATGTCCAGTTTAGCAGTACAGTGATAGATATACCGATTGTGTTCTTGAAATCAGAAAGAGTTGTCATTTTCAGGCATGAGGGAACATAGTGCATATACTGTTTTTTAACAGACCTTGCTAAGTGAAGTTCCTAGGTTGAATGTGCTGGATGTGCTTAAGTATCTCATGTAGTATGTCTATGGCATGTATAGTATGTAATGTCTATGTATAGTAAATACAAAGGAATAGTATTTACTACACAGATTAATAATACTCCTTTGCAAGTTCCTAAGATCCCAGAGAGGTCACTCTGGTCGTCTGTGAGCTTTGTGCCTCTCCTCTTTCATTCAACACATTCAAAACTCTCTTTAATATTCAAAACCTGCCTGGACGCCTTCCTGTGTGACCTGCTCTAGGTGGCCCTGCCTTGGCAGGGAGGTTGGACTGGATGGTCTCCAGAGGTCCTTTCCAACCCTAATGATTCTGTGAAAAGGCCTTCAGAAGCTGTGTGTTCCTTTTAATCCTGTATTGGCAGCAATTAGCTCCTCACACAATTGAGACTTGGTGTATTTCTAAGCATGTGAAGTCATAATGCTTCTATGTGCATTTCTTCTTTTGCTTTATGACTTGAATCAACAGCAAAAGGAAGCATTTAGTAGTAGAGAAGATCTATAATGTTGGATCACAGATTAAAATAAATGAAGGCGCATGTATTTGTGCATCTGTTTTGGTTTTGTTTTGATTCTTCCCATGCTACACCAATGGATTATATGTTATTAGGGATTTCACTTGATATGTTAAATCTGATGCATTTTCTGAGTTTAAAATCTTTCATTTGCAGTGTTATGGCTATGTGTAGAGCTGGGAGTTTCCTCCAATAAGATTCCCAGGCAGTTCTGAAATTTTAGGCACTCTCTGTCACTGAGAAGGTTAGGGTTACAATGTCTAAATGGTTTTTGTTTTTTTTTTTTTGATCTCTTGCTAGATCACAAGTGCAGTGACATTAATAAAGTGATCTAAATAAAAATTACACATTTTAAGTTTCAGGGCCAGTAATTCTGTAAGGTGTGTCTAAAATTACTTTAAGTGTGTTTTACTCTGGAGTATTTTCAGAACTGAAAATAATTGCTTCATTCGTAGTATTAATAAGCTACAAGCACATACCCAGATGTTCTGGTTCAGTGTCCCCAAAATACTGAATGATTGAAAATCTTTGGGGGTTTTGTTTTCTTTTTTTCTTGGCAGCTCTAATGTTGTAGTTCCTTTCAAGTTATTATTGACTCTTCTGGAGGAAAAAACCCAACTTCAGGGAAACATATTTTGCATTAAAAGTAGAGCTTTAAAGTTCTGGTAAAAATGTACTCACTGACTTCAGTGAGATGAAAACATGGCCTTTGGTTTCCAAGGTATTATTCCATGTTATGATGGCAGAGCCAGTAATTACTAGATCTGAAGCTGATGCTTTGCCACTTGAAATTTTATTTGCTTGAGTCTTTCCATTTGTCTAAAAGTAGACATTTATTTTTCTGCTCTAGAGTAGAGTGTATGTTCCTATTAGATGGCTGGTAAGTATTTTTAAATATGAGGTTTTCTGCATCATCTAAGTTGCAGCTGTGGCTTAGGTAATTTATACTTTAAAAAAAAAAAGAATGTATCTTTTATTAGTTTCTTCGTGCATCAAATACTTATTTTAATGCAAACCACAAGGCTGTTTTCAGCCATGGGATTTATTAATGTAGAACACAGTGCTTATTGTTACTTGTTATTTCTTCTTCTGTACAGTCCCTGACAGGTTGTTGTGCATGTTTGCATGGAACAAATAGAAGTTACACTTTGAATCTTCAGGCTTGATGCCTGGAAAAACTCCTGTCTTCCAAACTCAAAGTCCATAAATACAAATGTAAAGGTAAACCCAGGTCAGCAGTCTCCTCTGGTGGCATAGGTTATTGAGCTTGCTAAGAATTCTTCTCCATAATGTTTGTTTATATCTTGTAGTTACTCTGCCTACTAATTTTCAACTTCACCTTATATGCCACAGAACACTATTTTACCTGCTGTAACTTTCTTGATGCTTAAGCCTTAATTTTTCATTTGTCCTCACCCACTTCCTAAACGTGTATGCCAAACAGTGAACTACTAATTGGCAAGAAAAGTGGAAAGCTGTTCTACTTAACTCATAAAGTGAATATTCTCAAGCCAGTGATTTTTGAACAGAGCAGGAGATAATCTTGGACAATCTAGAGAGATAGGTATTCACTCATCTGTTGTAGTCAAGGTAAATGCATAAAGCTACATATGCATGACACAAGTCTGGCAACCTGTGCCTTTGGTGCCCTAGCAAAGAAGAGATTACTTGTCTGCTGTCCAGATGGAAGCCAGCACCATGCATTTTTCCAGATGGTTTAGTTCATGCATTACAAAAGAATGAGACAGATTTAGAAATGGATGATGCGTATAGCATTGTCACTCTACTTCAAATTAATTTACTTAATCTAATTCTTCTTTAGAAGGTAATTTAAAGTAAAATTATCATATTTGGTTTCTGGAGTTTTGCAAGGGGAAAACTTCCTCTGAATAGGAGGCTCTGACCTTATAGTGAACATTCGGAACAGTGATTTCTATAGGAAGTACATACTGTGATTTCTAATACTACAGATCATAATATGATTCAAGTTTGCATTTTGTATCAGCAAAGAGAACATATTCAAGGCTGCATCTTCAGGTTTAACATAGCTATCACTTTTCTGTTTGTTTGGCTGTTTTGAGTGCTTAACCATGTTCTTCATGTAGATTTAATATCTAATATATGTCAAGGCTATTGATTCAAGATTGTAAACTTTTATCATAAATTTCTTCCATATTGTGTCTGGCCTCCAGATATCCAAACTGGTATTTGCTTGTCGAGAAATGTGAAATTATTTTTTATTTAATCCTGTCTTTTCTTAAAAACCAAACTTACTTCTCCCCAAATTATTTGCTGTATGTGATATGACAATACTGAAGAAACGTATGCCGTTAGATTTTTTGATCTTAGCCAGTAGTACCATGATCGTAGTGATGCTGTTGACAACTTTATGCAAGTTCGAAGGAAATCTGATATGATCTGCTGACTTTGTTGATCCCTTTATTTCCCTTTTGGAAAAACTCTTAGTTCTCTCCTTTCGCTCACTTTAGGCTGCTGAACTAGCTGAGAAAAAGAAGTTGGAAAAGTATCAAAAAATGAAAGATGACATGAATGAGATTTCCAGCCTCCTTCAAGGAGACCTACTTTCTGAAAACCCTGACCAAGCAATCAGTTCCTTTGGTACACATCGTGTGATCACAGATCGATGGAAGGGAATGAATCGGGATCAGCTGAGGGCAATCCGTGACACGCAACAGCAACAAGTTCTGGAGAAACTGGTATTTAAGCTTACTTGCACATTCTGTATTCCTGGTTGTAATAATAGACAATGTTTGTAAAAGAAAATATTATTGCTTGCCTGTGTGTCCCACTGTAAGACTGTATCTTCCTTTGAGCTGAATTTTACCCAAATGAAACTGAACACGGTGTCTCTGAAGCAGCTGGGAAATGTCACAGAGAAGCCACAGAGAAGTGGGCTGGAGCCCTAGAGTTGGGCTGGGAGGAAGGTTGCTGTGCAGCCGAGGGTGAAGGGACCTGGGAGATCTTGGCCATGCTCCATGGTTGCTCAGCTGAGGAGGAAGGTCTTGCACAGCCCAAGACCAGGCTTCATGGTGCAGCTCAGGACTTGAGACTGTATGAGCTGCCTACAAGGGATGAGCAGGAGTGGGCTGCTCCATAGGTGAAGAGCCAGGAGCAGCAGGTGAAAGCAGGGCAGGCCAGAGCAATGTTCTCATGCTCAAGGGTGCTCAAGCAAGACAAATATAGCAGGTCCAGTGATCCTGCTCATGCATGTTTCATAGTCTTAAAAGTTCATTAATATGACAGAATTTCTTTTCTACCTTCCCACACAACTATGGGCCATGCTCTGGGATAGAGTTACAATAGAAAAACTAAATATTGCTAAAAAATTGCTGCTCTAAAGGTAAATGGAAGCAGGCAGTCAAAATGAAGAAAGCTATTGTTCCTCTGCTGTCAGGAGCATACAGGCCTAGGTATTGTGAAGTAGGAAGCTACTACTAGATAGTGAGTACAGAGGCTGGATTCATGACAGCTAATGAGTAGCTGTTGATTTTTAATTTTTAATCCCTAAAGTGCTGTATGCTGCACTATGTCTTATCTAGTGCTGTAATTAAAGCCGAAGATAGAGGAGTTTTCCTGGCTTTCCTATGACCCATTCAGGTAGTTAAGCTGGCAGAAATTGAGGCCCTCCAAGAAAAGGGAGTTTTTCGTCAGCCTGGTTTCTTGAATCAGTTCAGTATGTTGTCAGACAAGAAGTGAGGAAGTGATAGTATAACGGGGACAGAGGAAAACAGTTTGGGTCTACTCATACACCAAGTTAGCTGTATTACAGGCCATACTGATGACTACTAACTTCTGAGCTCAAGAAGTTACAACTCTTGCTAATAAGAACTTTAAAGAAATCACACACCAACCTGTCTTGCTGCTCTGGGTTTTGAGAGAGAGAGTATGTTAGAGAGGAATACTGATTAACTTCTGCCAGGCAGCAGACCCTAATTTTCTTGTGCAGAGGTAGGAGTCTGTCTCGCTCCCTAGAAAAGGATGTCTTTCTCATCTGCAGTATCCTACTTCTCTGCCTAATGCATGAGCTCCCACCTAGTTTGGAAGTGCCTAATTTTTCTCCTTATTTCAAATGCTACCCCTAGTGTTCAGTAAAGGCAAGCAAGTTTGTAAAGATGAATTTACCAGTCAGCCTTTATATATGTTGGTTTATCTTTGAACAAAGACAAGATTTAGCTTTTTTTTTTCTTTTCATTCTTGAAGAGACAAAACCAGGAAGAACGCCGAATTGATGCTGAATGGGACAGACAAATAATACAGACTGCAAGAGCACAGCTGGTTTTAGAGGGGCATCTACAACGACAGAATCGGGAACACCGCCGAGCTTTAGATAACATGAACGCCGACATGTCTCAAGAGCAGAAATCAAAGTAAGTACCAGAGGAGCTTTCTTCTTTTCAAATAAAATTATTTACCATTGGCTTTCAAAGAGCTTTTTTACTTATGTTGATTGTTACTTCTTACATATACTTGTTAAAAGTTTATACTTGAAAAAAAAAGAACAATTCAGATTAAGTATGTTTTTCAGTACTATTTAAATAATCTTCAAAGAGTAGCTTATGATTTTTACTGACTTACATGTATTAATTAATAGCTGGAATTCTTAAAAATGTTCCACTGACAACAGGTGGTTTATGTAGATAGCAAAATAGAGGATAAATACAATTAACTATATAGAAAATTATATTTATCAGGTGTAAAACAGTATGTGTTTCTTAAATTTGCCTTACTTTTCTGAAACAAAAAAGGATGGGCATCAGTAGAACTGCCAGTTTCTGATAGCTCAGGACACAAATGGAGCTTTTCCATTTGTGTATGACAAAATTAGGTGATGCTTTAGCTAAGAGCTGAACACATCTTGGTGGACAGGTGTTGTGTCTGCTCTAATGGGAAAGGAGGAAGATAATATGTGAAGGAAAAAAAAACCCAAGTGATTCAGTGTTCTCTGTTTTTGTTTTTCCCGTCATGCATGCATACATTGGTTTTACAAAAGAATTTCCAGTAGCTGATGCTTTCTTATTAGGAAAGCAAAATTCATGATTGTGTTAATTTAGTTTTTCACTGTGAGATTTTTGGAAAAGTTATTTTAGAATTGAAAAAAGAAGTTTCCTATATTGAGATGTGGCATACGTTTTGGAGGGAAAGATCTAGTTTATTAAATTCCATTATTAATTCTGAATTTTATGAGCATTTATGAGTGTTTATGCGTAACATCTTCAGGTTTCTCAGGTTTCCTCTATATTATAATGAGAAAACATTTACTAACTACTTTTTTTTTTTTTTTTTTAATTTATTACTAGGAACATTTATCTTAAAGAAGAAGAATATTCAAATTGTCCAACAGATGAGTATTTCGCACAGTTTAATACAACCAGCCGATAACATTCTGGATAAGTCAACCTGAAATATAGAGAAGTATGTAGATATTAAAATTTTTAATTGAGCAATCCCGTGGTTTATTTTTTTTATCTGTTCCCTATCCTGTTCAAACAGTGCACTCAAACTAAAGGAGAGTCTGCTACTCCACATCTGTTCTAAGAAGAGGAAAACACTGTCATAATTTTTAAACTTGATTGTTATTCTAAAAAGTGCCAGTAGATTCAGTGTTAGGTTGTTTGACTGTTGTGTTGTTTTTAGGTTTTGGTGGTTTTTTGTTTTTTTGGTTGGTTGGTTCATTTGTTTTGGGATTTTTTGGTTTTTGGTTTGTTTTTTTTTTTTTTTTTTAAAGGAAAAAAAAAAGCAGCCAGACACAAAAGAAAGCAAAGAGAAAGAAATGGAGAAGTTGGTCAGAAATACTGCTTTTATTTCCTGAATATTAGGAGTAAGAAGAGAAGATTTTGACAATTACCAAGGGGATTATAGCAGAGGCATGACACAGACCTAGAATATGGGTAATACTAAGTTGGGAAAAGAATGAGGGAAAGTATTGCTACATGCACTGCCACTCATTAGAAATAATGGAGAAAATTTAAGGGCAGTGTGCCTCTAAAAGGAGAATGTAGGAAGGGTTTATGGATGTGATGGAAGTGGGGGGTGGGTGGGAAAGGAAGCAGGCATGCACCAAACAAAATCCAGAAGAATCTCAGCTTGTGCACAGTAACTCAGGGGAAGAGTTTGCTTCCTGACTTCATGGTTACAGAATTTTTTTAGCAGTGGAAGAGACAAGTCAATGGTATTTGAAAAATGGGCAAATGAAACTTATGGGAAGAAAATATGGAGAAGCAATGTAAGAAACTAACTGCACCAGAGAAACAGATGATGGAGATAACCAGAAAATTAAATCCAGAAGGGAAAAAGATGACATACAGAGGACTGGAAAAAAGATTAGATGACTTAGTGATCTAAAACAAAAGAAAGAATGAAAGAGAGATGAGAGATTCAGCTAAATATCCAGAACCTCTAGGACTGTCAACCCTTAATAAAAATAGGCCATTTATGAGAATAAATCTTAAAGTAAGTCTGTGTAGCTTGCCAGACTCTGGAATGTAAACCTGGGGTAAAAACATCCCATTGACATTGGCATAGAGTCTACTGCTTTTAGTTTGCGTCAGGGTAAATGGTAACTGAATTCTGGTGAAAACAGGTTGAAGATGACTACACCAAGCTAAGTAGAAAAGGTGTTTAAAGAAACTGAGGCTGAGGTAAACTCCAATGAGTTGTTCTCATCTTCGTGTAAATAATGAAGACTGTATGGTTCTCAAGATTATTAGGAGGATTTTGAGATGTTTGAAGGAAGCATTCCTTGAAAGGGGACTGTTCAAACAGGTCTGTTTGCTTTCCTTGAAAGGAGACTCTTTCAAAACAAGTCTGCATGCTCAGCTGAGATAGTGGCCCTGTGGCATCAGGCTGATAGGACTAATTACCATTTTGAACCAAGTGATAACAAGAGGAGTTTGGAAAAGACCATCATTAATTCCTCTAGATGGAGAGGAGGAAGAAAATCGAGGAAAACATAAAAAGGGATAAAGAAGCATCTTGGGACAGGATGCAAAAAGATATATCCCTATTTTACTATACTAATACAACTGGAACTAATTGCAGTATAGATAGCAATTAGGTAGAAAAGCAGCATTGCTGGTGAATGGGAACTGAAGAATGTGCTATTCAGAAAAGTTGGAAGATAAAGCTGAGACAGGACCACCCTTGCATCGTTAATGATGAGCCAGACTACAAAGAAGTAAGAAGGGATTGTATTCAAGAGATTCTCATGTGTTAGCATTTGGAGATCCATTTATTTGTCAGACTAGGATTCACACATGGCTGGATGTCTTTGTAGCATTAACAAATATTGTATTGAATTGATAATCTCAGTTCAACTACAAGTTGTTTTTTATCTGTGTTGAATATTTCAGACTCTTTTTTTTTTTTAAACTAAAGTTTTAGTTACCTGACAGAAAAACTAATAAAGTGTTTAAAGATTCATGAAGTTGTCTTCATTTGTCCACCTTTGTGTGAGTATGTGTTTACAGCTGTTCAGTTTAACATACTGCTGGACCTAGTCAGAGGACATTTTTGTTCCTTAAGGAAGGACTGTATGATTAAAGCCTTTTTGTATTTACCTATGTGCTCGCATAAAAACTTTTTCTGTGAAGTTACAGAAATATAGTTTTCTCAGTTGAACAACATATAGGCCTTTAGATAGAAATTCAAGTAAGAAGACCCTGACAATTCAGTAATTGGGTAGGATCAGGCATCATTAAATTCCCTGGAAAACTTTTAGCTTAATCAGTCGTATTTGCAAGAATAACCATGCTACATTCTACTTGTTTCAGAATGCAAAACCTGAAATTTATTTTGTATGTTAACAAAGAAGCACAATCAAATTGTAGAAAACATGCCAAATGTAAAGTGAAAAAGGTCTGATTGTTGTTGGTATTTTATGCCAACTTGTTTTATTTTGCATGGAAACAATCCATATTTTCAGTAGACATACCTCAACTCAGTAGTTGATAATAAGGGGTTGAGGTGCAGGAACTTCTCAAACCTGTATGGTTCTACAACAACAAAGATATGGACTCGTATTTTCAGCTTTTGAAATGTCTACTTATTTCAGTATTCATCAGTAAAAGTGACAAGCTGTATCAAAGGAGTATTAACAGATAGTAGGTGCTGTTTGAAAATGTTTGTTGGTTTCCATTACTGAGGTAATTTTTTTTGGTGTGGTATCTCTTACACAGTCACAAATTTCATTTACAAATCAACCTGGCAAACTGTTCATAGAGAAAGGGACATACAGATTTTAAAACTGGGAAAAAATAGTTTCTGAATGAGGAAAAAGATCAGTTTCTGAACAGATAAACTGTATTTTACTAAATTTTCCTTATTTTCCTCCTTCAAGGACAAAGTTAAGTTTTATTTGCAGCTATTAGTGAAATGTTAGTATTTTCTTCTTACCTAATGTTACTTCAGTAATGCTAATAAACAAAAATAAAAGCATTTAATGAAGGAATTTTCATTCCCGGCCCTATAATACAACAAAACTGCACTTCAAATTCCTGAAGGAAGGAAATAATCTGGATGAATTAGGGAGAAATCTAATGTTAAGTCTGTTCCAGTAAATTGTATGTGTGGTTTCTGTCATACAGTGTTGTGATTATTAATGGAGTGAAATGCTTTTCAGATGACAGGACATGCAAGCAGGACAAATTGAGGGTCTAGCAGACATTCTACTCAATGAAAGGCTGATGATGGATTATGAGGAATACTTCAGGTGATTGTTTAATCAGGATAGATAACTGCTTTTTGGAAGCAAAGTTTTACCTAAAAATGAATTTAAAGGTTGTTTTAGCTTACTAGGTTTTAGTTTTTAAATGGATTACTGCTACTCTTCTGTAAGTTTCTGTTGCTACAGATCTGTATCTGCCTATTTTTGTATGAATCTTTGAATAATTTTTAAATTTTTAGGACTTCAGCATACTTTTTTGCTGGTATAGATACTTTTTCAGTACTACTTTTAATTTATTACTACAGTTATTACATGGGACTGCATTGCACAGCCAGACACCTTACTGATGTATGTACTACCTATGTTTTATGCAGTCGCCTTCAGAAAGATACTTCTTACTGCAGTTTAAAGCCATAGTTCTTCTTCATTACCTATCAGCCAGGAGAATTGATCAGAATATGTACAGGAGACTAGTTAGGAAAAGTGAGTACCATTTGAATATGTATTTGTCCCAGGTCTAGAGAAATATGCACTAGTTATTTCACTGATTTATGAGTATGGCAAGAGTATTTGCCAATCAGGAGAGGAAGAATTACTGTTAGAATTTTTCTCGCTATTGGTGCTAACTCAGAAATACTGTGCTGCTTAACAAAATTATAGTGAACTCTCACCCTGAGAAATCCAGTTCCTGTGGCTTCTTATTAGTAATCCTGATTCTTCACAGAAGAAACCACAAAAATCTTGCCTGTAAAAGAAACCACAGAAAATAAACAGCAGCCACTAGACGTCATAGTAGAAATTGCACAATTGCAGTTAACACAGCAAAAAATACTCATGCTAAGCTCCAAAAACTAATAGCCCCCTTCTTTCTATCCTTAGAAAAGATGGATAAGGATAAGTAATTCTTTTGTAATCATATGTGATCTGGTCTAATCTAATTATGCCATTTTGCAATAATCCAAGAGAGTGGAAATACTGAGGATCCAGATACATCATCATCACAGAAACTTGAAAGAATACAGGACTCTAATGTGTGCTCTGGCTTTCTCAACAGACTATTTGCTGTTACAGTGGTGCTGTTTGAAATACGTTAAGAAAGAAAGAGTACTGTAAGTACTAGCTATTTATGACACAGCATATAGAAAGGAAAAATATTTAGCTTTCAGCTTTAGCAATTTTTATGTGACCTTTTTTCATCAATATAATTTAAGAGTTAATTCATATCGCTTAATTGAAAATGCTAGGAAGGAACAAGGATTGGAAAATACTGCATGTACAAGAAAAACTGACAGAAAGAAATGGCCAGCTATATAAAGATACTACCTTTTTTTTTAAAGCAAAATATTTCCTTGGTAATATTAAAATATTAGTTACTATTTTAATGCCTGTCACTAGCAATTAAGTGATATTAAAATAGATTTAATGAAAATCAGTTAAAATACTTGAAACCAATGACACTGCCTTGGAGTCAGGATGTGTGAGGACATTAGTGAGAAGATGTGAAAACAGTAAAACTTGTGAACAATTTAATACCGTAGTATATGAGAAAACTCATATACTTGACTACATACTCATATGTGCAGATGCATCATAATAGGAGTTTGATTATTTTACCCATTCACTACTCAGCAGTTTCCAACCATCTAGCTGGAAAATGCTGTCTGTCATAGACATGCAGAAGGATCTACTGTCATTTCCCATGTTCATGCTCCTGCTG